CTAAATAACATATCAAAAAATTTTTATATATATTACCGGCCACCAATAAAACATATCTTCACTTATATATATAAAAAAAAAAAAAAAAAAAAAAAAAAAAAAAAAAAAAAAAACCCTAAATTCTTTCGGCAAAGCCACTTGTTAGGGGTCACATACTAAGACAATAGCCAGCCATCTCTAACACTTATAATAGAGGTAACTTATATCTTCGCGGATATCATCTTCAAAAAAACATTAACAAGGTGAATAAATAAGGGGTTTCTAAACACTTGAAATCAATTTATCTCTTATATCTCTTAGGTTACGTTATGCAAATTCTGATTGATTACATATTACATGCTAAAGGGCCCTCTAGTGTTAGGCGGGTGTGGGCATGTGGCTGATACAATACAGTATTAGAAACGTTTAGCCCAGATGTTCATGTCGTACAGCCATCACTTTTTAATTACAATATATCCACATCGCCATCGTTCCTGCGCTCCTTTCTTCGAGACGCGCCGAATGGGCTTGTGAGAGGGCTCAAGACGCCGGTAGATGGACCTCGATTGTCTGCCCACTGCACGTCTCGCAAACCAGTCCATATAGGTGTTGTAGCAGAGCAGTTGTCATCTGACCGACTTATGCTGCGTAGTGGAAGATCGTCTGCAACCAGCTGCGCGCTGCTCCTTATTCCCTGCGGTCCTTGTGAACTATCTTCCCTGTTATCTCCCGCCCAGAGACCGCCGCTCATCAGCTCTGCGAATTTGCCGTTCTTCTCCAACAGCTCGTTGTAAGAGCCAGACTCTACTGCGCTGCCTTGCTCGATTACAATTATACGATCCGCCATACGCATCATTTCCTTGCTGTGCGTAACAACGATAATTGACAGCTGGTCTCCCTTGCTAGTGGTAACGCCCTCGCCTCCATAGACGGTCTGTTTTCTCGTAGACTGCATGAGAGACTCTATCGTATGCCGTACGTCCCTAGCGCTAAGCGTATCTAACGCGCTCGTAGGCTCGTCGAGCACTAATAGCTTAGGTCGCCGCGCCAATGCCCTGGCTATGCAAACCCGCTGCGACTGTCCACCGCTAAGCGACTGTCCGCCGTCCCCGACGATCGTATCGTAGCCGGCTGTCGAAGTGCGGATGAAGTTGTGAATGCCTGCCTCCTTGGCTGCCCTCTCGATATTCTCCCTCGTAAGCAGCGGGGAGTCTTCCGCCAGGCCGTAAGCGATGTTTTCCGCGAGCGTGCCAGGGAAGAGAAGCGGCGTCTGGGGGACGTAACCGATATGACTCCGCAGGCCTGCGAGGTCAAGTTGAGCTGCCGGCGTGGACGCGAAGGTTAGCTGCCGCTGATCCCCGTCGTTCCGCCTGCCTTTCGACCAGTCCGGTACGTATAGGCCAAGGATTATCGACGCGATCGTGCTCTTGCCGCAACCAGAAGGACCGACTACCGCGGTAGACGTGCCGGCGTCGAAGCGGAGGGTGAGGTTTCGAAGTACGGTGCGCTTGCTCGACGGGTACGTGAAAGACAGACGCTCCATCCTGATGGGAAAGGGGTTTACGAGTAGAATCTTGCCTCTCGACTCGTGAGAGGCATCCAGGGGTAAGTATGCGTAGTGGATTAGCCTAGAAGCTGTTGCTTGTGCTGTGGAAACGCCAGTTATAGAACCCAGTATGCTAAAAGCAGTGGTGACGCCCAGAACTAATAGGTTCACCACCTGTAGGATGGCGGGGATCGTAAGCTCTCGATCGGTTGTGAGCAGCTCGATCGCGTACCAGAATGTAAGTGCGAAGATAAACCAGACCATAGACTGTGAGCAGGCGTACGGGATAGCGGTCCAGACGGACTTTTCGGTTCCCAGCTCGAAAGCTCTGCGAATAGATTCTTCGTGCTTATTCGAGAAGAACTGCTCTAACGCCAACGCCCGAACGACGCGCACGTTAATAAAAGTTTCCGTCAAGATCGCGCTGATATCGTCTGCGGCTCTGAGGCATTTGTTTTCCCACTTTTGAGACACGAGGGAGTAACCTTGCGTGGCAGCGACGAAGGCTGGCGCGCTCGCAATGCTTACGAGTGTGAGCCGCCACGAGATGAGCAGCGCCCATACCACAGTGCTGACGACCATGATAGTCACGAGTAGCAGCTGCGGAGCGAAACGCCCGACGAGATTTCTCATCTCCTCCGCGTATCGATCCATACACTCGTTTATGCGGACGGCCGAATTAGCCGGTTCGTCAAACCACGATTTGGGCTGTCGCAGCACCCTGTTCAGCGCTCGAATGCGCAGGGCGTTTACCCAAGCCTGGCCCGCCCTCTGCATTAGATACTGATTAAAGTAAGTCGCTGCTGCTCTTGTGCAGGCGATTGCTAAGAGGCACAGAGCCCATTTCTGTCCCGCAGCCATTCTGTCTCCGCTTGAAAATAGGACCGCCAGGAGATTTGCAAACAGGACTGAAAAGGCCGGAACCAGGCCCGCGAGCACGACGCACGTAAAGAATCCTATAATGAGGAATATACTTTCTCTCATAGTCAGGCGTGGCCATACTGTCTTATAGATAGCCCACAAGGATAGTGTCTCGGGCTTATCACTGTCACGATTTTCTAGAGTGTCTGCAGGCGTAATCGTAGGTCCCCTCCGCCGGTCCTTGTCAGCAGGATTGCTGCGGGTTTTCCGCACCGTGTCGCCCAGCTCTTGAAGGCGCAGTATGCTATTTCTGCTCAGTGGCCTCTTTTGGTTGGATTCGCTGTGGAATATACGATAATGATCAGGCCACCACAGCGACGAGAGCCTCCTGCGGAAGAAATAAGGGGGTTCTAGGAGTGGATCCAGAGCATCCAAGTCTCCCGGCCGAGTAGATTCCCTGTTTTCGTTCCCATTTCGAAATTGGCGGGCTTGTATGGCCGATGCACCTACGTTCGGCGTAGCGCTCCGCCGATAGAGGGCGTCTGGCCCCCCGAAAGGCCAAACGTAGTCTGGAGAAGTAGGATTTTGTAATACGGCACTCCTCGGCGATGTGAGGCTGGCTGTGGCATTTGTCTTGTCTGGCACATCCACGTAAATTTCTTTGCCTGCATTGATGTCGTCGTTTGAAGCCGAAGACGCCAATACAGCAAATATGCCGTCTCTCTGCCGCTGCAAATCCCAACGGAAACCTGCCTGTACGACGCGCGCGTCCTCCATGACGTATACGTAATCGTCGTCGTTGATCTGTGCTACTTCGTGGGTAATTATAATAGTTGTTTTCCCTCGTCGCCACTGCCTAATACCATCCATAAGCAGGCCTCGATTTGTCGGGTCAAGCCCGCTCGTGACTTCGTCAAGGATGAGTACTGGGGGATCGCGTATTCTTGCCCTCGCTACGGCTAGCCTCTGCTTCTGGCCGCCGCTCAGGTTGGTGCCCCCTGTCCCTACGTACGTATCTAGGCCGTCGGGTAGCTCGATCAGGGTTGACTGGAGCAGGGCCGCTCTGCATGCTGCCTCGACTCCTTTCCTAGACACCTCCGTAGGTATTCTGTGGCCCATTGCAACATTAGCATATATGGTATCGTTAAAAAGGACGCTCGCCTGTTGGATAAGTGTGACGTTGCTCCGCACCCACTCGGAATCTAAAGTCTTCAGCGCGTGGCCGTCGATCAATATGTTTCCGCTGAGGGGTTCGTAGAATTTCGCTAGCAAATTGCCTATCGTGCTCTTTCCCGAGCCGCTCTTCCCCACGATAAAACATAGCCGGTCTTGATCGAAGAAGAAACAGCATCTGTTTAGAACGACCTTGGTTGGATTTGAAGGGTACGCAAAGCTGACCTGGAGACCGTGGTGTTAGATATAGGTGAGAAGAGTGGTCAAGGTAAACCCACGTCGTTAACTTTGATCTTGCCAGAGCAATTTATAGGGCGGTAGCTACCTATCATTTGATAGATCTTTCGTCCGCCTTCGATGTTGTGAGCTATAGAGTACAGCGCCTGGCCGGCAGCCATACCCCTCGCTAAGGAGACGTACGTCGGCGCGATGGTGTAGATGGCCTGCAACGCGCCTAGGGCCGCGTAGAATGTCGTCACGACGCTTCCTGGGTTTAGTCCCTGGTTCACTAGAACAGCACCGTAATAAAACCCCAGAACGAATATTCCGTCTAGCCATAATCTTATATAACCCACTTGCCACGCGCTCGTCTTGGCGAGAGTTAGATACGTATCCATAGACCTTTGTATCACCTGCAGATACTGCCAGACTTCGTGGTCGACGGCGTTGAAGGCTTTTACGAGGTCTATCGCGGTTAAGGCTGATATCGCGTGCTTAGATGCCCGACCGAGCTCTCGCTTCTGCGCTAGGATAGCCAGCTTCAGCTTACCACTTAGTAAAGAAGGTACGACGACGATAGCTGGTATCGTAGCGAGGAGTACGAGCGTGAGTTTCCACGAGCCGTAAAATGCGACGATGAGATTTGCGACCGCTGCGGCAATCTCAGCTGCTATAGACCCTAATGTCGCCGAAGATGCTACTTGAAGCTCTCTTATCTGTCTAATAAACGATTAGCGATTTTCGCGGCAACCAGATCAGGATGAGCAGTACGTTTGTACTCTCACGAGCAGGCTCGGGATCCCGTCTTCCTGGCGGTCGAACCAGGCCATATCCTTCGTGAGCAAAGCGTTAAACACTCTGCGACGGATGTTCCGAGCTTGAACCTCGCTGAAGATGGACCAGATGAACATAAAGGCAAAATTGACAATCACTCCCGCTCCACCAACCAACATCAGGATGACGCACCAGGACGAAACCTGAGCGTAGGCGCCTGGCCCGTCCAGTTTCCCCGATCCGAATTCGGCAACAACAGCAAATATTCTGCCTATGAGGATGGCAGAAACTGCCCTCATAGCGCCCATCAGCAACGATGCCACCAGGCCTGCAGCCAATATTCCGCAGTGACGCCACGTCGCGAAGACGAAAAGGTGTCCCAGAGACGGGGGTTGCAAACGCTGCGCATCGATTCTTGCAGATTGCGCATTGCCGGACGCTCTGTCTTCGTTATCGCGAGAGATTGATCCGTCCCTAGATTTTAGACTCGGTCGAGACATGACAGGCAGAGAACCTCGCTACGTTGCGTGGCGCTTCAGTGTCCTATTAGCACGATATCAGTTGTTGAAAAGAGCGAGAGCCGACGTCTAGGAACCAGCCCAGAGATTTTATCGCGAGAATTCTAATTGAATTATCGTCTGACCATATTTATTTACTTGGACGCTCTACTCCAGCTTTCCCGATAACGTTGGCCTTTGTCCGCTCTTGCTTTGTAGCTGCAAGCAAGGTATCTGGGTGCCGATAATGTCAACGGAGCTAGAGTGCTATTTACTAGTTCTAATTCGAATAAAGGGCATCTCGAAATAGGGTTTCTGCATAAACCCATAATAAACGTTACCACAACTGTTACCATGACGAATACCGAATCTTTGATAGCTCACTATGATACCAGGCCGCCTAAGTAATCCGATTAGGGCTGAAAGCCATTCGTCCATTTACGTTTCTATCCACGCATGACTATATCAGGTTCTGACCATGTTACCGACGTAGGTTTCCGGCGTTCCTATTCGCTTCTACCTACTTCGCCTCTTGTCCTTTTTTGCGTATCGTAAGGGACAGCGAGAGAGTATGTTTTACCACCTCGTTTGTGAGGGCTACGCCTTAGGGCTTGCCCGCGCCATTAGCCTTCTCATAGATCCAGTCGTTAAGGCCGGCCCTGTTCCTTGCTATCTCGATGGCGTAGAATTGCATCCTCGGAACTAGAGAGAGGGCGAGTTAGCAGAGGGGGTTTATCCTTTCTCAACTTTTCAAGGGAGTAAATATCAATACCAAATATTGTCGTGTCCTGTTCGTATTCTACGCTAGGGCTCGTTCGTAACATGGTGCCAAAGTTGTAGTCATCGACCTTCTTGTCGTAGGCCATCATGAACTTGCGCCACCGCTCCTTGCCCGACTTACTCTTCATCTCTTCCTCGTTAATAGTCTCTGCGGGATCGAATTCGGGAAATTCGGCTTTAAGGTGGGCGTATATGTCATCGTCCATCTTGGTGAGTCGCAACGAAGAACCTTTTACTCTTTCCAGAATAGCCCAGTATGTCTCTAGATGCTGCACCGCTGCGCTCATGAGCCAAGGTTAGAATATTAATTTAAAAGTAGATCTTTGTTTCGCGCAAACCTTTGACCGCAAACTGCTTCTCAATCTGTCACTCGTGGAGTCAGATTAGCTATCGGATGCATCTAGATATTAACAACCTAGGAAGTCCTACATCCTCCAGATTGTCTGCATTGTTCGCATCAAAGTTTGTCGGAACAGGTCCGGACATTTTTGTAAATTCGTCCATGATCGGTATTGCGTTAATCGCGATGGTTGCGTAGATTTCGCGGGTATTCCGGGACAAGTTCAACAATAGTTGTGAAAATACCAATTTTAGTATTCAAGACGAAGTCAGATCTACATGTAGAGCTGATTTGCAAAATCGTCATTTTGGAGGGGTCAAACATATACCGCGGGGTATGATGTATCTTTCATGTTTATATGCATATCTCGGTAGCTATCTAGATACATATCTATGTAAAGGAAGTCATAATTTTATGAGTTGCATTCACCTGCTCCTGTTTAGGTACATGCTGGATGATAAATTGTATCGATACATAAATATAACCATTAAGCAACAGCACCTAATCTGAAGGTGGTCCCAATGCCAACGCTGTCCGTTCAGATTAGGGAATGAAACTCAACATCCCATAGGAAACTCACTTAAAAGTTCATCCTAGGAGTATTAAGAGTACTATACTATCTATCTCGTCCCAAAGCAACATCATCTTCTTACTAGACTTTATTCGAATTCTGTTCTCCGACGGTTTGGCGTTATTCTACTCCCAAGCCCTTCATTGTCTATTTTAGATTCCTTTCCCAAATGTAGCACATTATATCCTTTATAATTAGCATGCTCGCGCTTTTACCCTCTTTAATCCGCAATGCACGACGCTCTATTCCGTTTACTTTTGCTCCAGCCCCTATCTACTGTTAGCGATCGAACCGAGTCTGCGAACGAATCAAGGACTCTCACAATAGCAAACGGGCTCCGAGCCCGGATTCTGCTTCCGAACAAAACTAAAGCCCACGGTACGAGTGTTAATACGGTAGCAACTCCGCCCAGTAGCCCACCCATCGCGTCTTCTCCGAGATTTCGTATCAGCAAACCTGTGACAAGAGGGAACACCCCACTGATTACGTTGCGGCAGAAGGACTGCGCAGCGAGCGCCGATGACGCGTACGCTCGATAGACGTCTGCTAGATAGTTGAATGTAGCTAAGTAGACGTAGAAGATGCCCATCGTAGCGAGGAATATTGCAAACGTAGGAACCATCCAGTGGATCGACGGCTGGGACGCGAATCCGAACAGGTATAGACCCGCCGGCAGCAGCACTGAAGTGAAGCAGGTAAAATAGAGCCGCGATTCGGGAGATTGAGCCGGAAATTTCCGTCGCACAAAAGCCCAGAATCCGGTACCTGTATGAACCTCCTCAGAACTGTCTTCCGAGCTGTCCGTCCCCGAGCTATCTGATATGGATTGCCACTTAGGATGTTTGAGCATTCCTTCTTGATATATACCGAGGATAGTTGCGAATATGGAGCCTACAATCATAGCGATAAATACGAGGCCAGATTGCTCCATGTTAAAATTGTACTGTCTCTGGAACACGAGCGGGACAGACCCGAAGGTCAGGTAGAGAATGCCCCATGCGAAAGATACCCATAGAGAGAAGAAGAATACGATGGGTTCCGTGAAGAGTAGTACGAATGGCCTAAAAAGCGATACGGTTATCATCGTGACGAGGGACACCTGCTGCTCATCTTCCTTGACGGTCCATCTAATTCGCCGCAGCCCTGGACGTCCCTTCGGCTTAGATTCCGACGTGGGCGCCGACGGTCTCGACAAAATATCCGAGTCGCCATTTGATCCAGGAAAATAAACTCCAAACACCCCTTTCTCCTCCAGCTGCTGATACCATTTATTCAATGCCCTTGTCTTTCTCGATAAGAGCACCGAGCCGCGGCTCTCCTTGAAAAAGACCACGACGGCAACTATCAAGATGAAATCTATAATAACTGCGAAGCCAGGATGTTAGCTGCCATGTATCGCATACGATCCGACGTAGATACAGCCACCTTCATGCCTTTGTACGACGTATTTAGTAGGGGGAGCAAGGTGGGCAGATGGAATTTGGAATTGCTGACTTACCCTGATGCCAAAATACCCATTTCCACTTCTGGCCCTCGCCTCCCCAATGATGAACCATTACCGCAGCCACGAGCGGCCCCAAGCCGGTACCGACCAGGACGAAGCCGCTGAAGAGCGCCATCGGCATGTTGCGGTCTTCCTTCTCGTACATGTCGGCAATTACACCGCCCACCATGGTGCTAAACACGCTTCCGCCGACGCCCTTGAAAAACCGGGCGATCAACATACCTGCTAAATTTGTGACCACGCCGCAGACGGCCTGGAAGACTACAAATATGACGCCGGCAATGGCGAATACGGGGTAGCGCCCGTTAATCTCCGAAAACGGAGCCAAGATCATGGGGGCGACAGCGAAGCCGATGCAAAAGGTAGTCACGCCGACCAGAGCGCTCTCGCGTGTAGTGTTGAATTCCGCGGCGATCGGGTCCGCACATTCGGAATACGTGCCGGCGGCGTACGCCGTAAAGCAGGTGGCGAGGCAACATATTACCAACATAACCCCTTTGCGCGCCAACGGCCATTTCATCGGGTCTGTGTATGGAGAAAGGTCAGGACACGCCGGAAGGTCGCCGCGGTCCGACTGCGGTCTACCAGCATTTGGGCATGGCAGTGGCGTGTCGAACGTCAGGTAGAAGTAGGAAATGGGGCTGTTAGCGTCCAGCGTCACATCTTTAACGACCTCTTCCTGGTCCATCGATCCCGGTATTTCTGCCTTCGTGATGGAAGAATCGAAGGCGAGAGCTGATGAGTACGTTGCCGAAACGCCGGGCGGCGCCGACGTGTACTTCCCGGATACCCCGTGTTCAAGGGCTAGGCGATCTTTTCGTTTATCAGCTACAGCGGGTGTGTAGCTACCGGCGTTCCTCTTCGGCTCCATCCTTGTCGGGGTATCAAATTTTAGCCGTACGTAGATTAGACGTTCCTGGTCTGGCAGATCAACGTGTTAAAATTGGCCACACGACTGAACAATGTTACGCAATCGTTGCTCTCGGCAATCTCACTGGGAGGCCTGATGCATGAGAGGGTGTGATATACTGATATAAAAATCGCCAGAGAACGAGAAGTGCGAACAAAACCCACGCTCCCTGTTCCGAAGTGCGAGCTCCTACCCAGGCTTCATCAAACTTTACCGATTGGCTTGGAGCGTTTATATAGCCAGCTACTATCTAACACATGTGAGTTACGGGATCGGTGAGAAAGAATGTAACCTTCGCTTATGATCGGAGGCGTAAGACCGGGAGTTATCTATCTTCTTAGCATGATGTCGGAAAGTTGCCAGACGAGGATCATTGCCAAGTATAGGACAAAGGGGAGACAATTAGTACATGGCGCTCACACCTCCACGGATCAATCCGCAGGTGTTCTTCTGCTAAATCATTTAATGTTTTAAGTTGCCTGTGAGGTGCGCTCCGGTCAAAATACAATGGTGTGGATAATTATCATTCATCGGACATATGGAGCCTCGAAGTGATAAGGTCAGGCATTGGACCGGAGGATTGCGCGCAACCAAATTATCGGGAATTAGAAAAGGCTTAACTTTGGTAAGTCCATATTTCCGGTTATTCCCGCTTCGGCCGTGTGGATACCTTCATTTGATTCATGATTCATGCAGCGGCGGCAGTAGACGCCGCTGATGTATACGGACTTTCCTCATTAGACATTAGACGTAAAATGGCGTCTTTGAGGCACGGGAAAAAGGAAAAGGGGACAAAAAGAAAAAGAAGTCCAACCATGCATATGTCAGATAAAGTTGGACTTTAGTTAGTTAGCCAATCGAAACTAGGGGGGAGGCAAGATAACGAAGAACAATTGGAATATTGTTTTAGACTGTCTTAGTACAAGTGGCGTACTCGTTCAGAAATAGTCCTCTTTAATGAAATGGATGTAAGCATATAGATCATGAAAAATCAGCCAGCACGTCAGATTTCTCATCATTTACCTCATAGTAAGAATAACTCTCAGAGTCGAACCAGCTTCGACATATGTCATCTTTTAAAAAGTCACATTAAATAGATATCTATTAGGAGCCGCTAGCGTCGGCGAAGACATTCGAATTAAAAGAAACACATTATATGAGTAGGTCCTCGGGAATATTTATCCCGTATGTAGCATTGAAATTATGGGAATTCTGTAACTATCAAGGTTGATATTATAAGAAATGTTCTCTACACAGCACCCCAGACACGTATCAAGGTAAGTACCTAGGTTAGTTATTTAGACCGATATAATGATCGGAGTCTCCATCTGGGTATTAACCCCCTACCGTACGCCCAAGGAGATACGGAGACATGCCGAATTCAGACTAAGGTATATCGCCGGTGCTTATTAACTCATATTAGTAGAACACCGCGAGCAATTGAACTAAAAAATAACCAACATCAACTTATAGATACGGCGCTTAGTTTGGCCTGGCCTGGCCTATATTTCTAAAATATTTATTCATAACCTGATGCCTTAAGCTCTAGGCGTACCCCTCATCATCAGCACCTAAACTATCGCTCGTTATTCTCTCTTGTATACACACGCAGTAAAAATATTTCCCAGATTATGTAGAACACACAAAGTCATGTGGGTTTCCATTTGTTTGGACGGAGCAGAAGATTTCCTAATAGAGTGAAGAATTTGTATACAACATTATACCTAAACGCACCTGGAAAAACATAGAGCCAAACATAGAAAAAGTCCGTATCTTACAAGAGCTGCCTTACCCAGCAGTAAATTTTGCTGCTTTACTCGATATGGAGTCTTACCAGTTCTGATTTTTGCCAGTATGGTTTCTATCGAAACAGAGAGTACTGGAATATACCGTGTAAATACAAACTATTTACTAGTTGATATTCTAAAGGGGGTAAAATAATACGACCTATCGAGAAACAAAGCGATGTGTCTCTAGGAATCATAATAAGCATATCCTCTTCGGATGCTGACGGTGGCAAATCCCTTTCGACGTATCATTGCATCATCATCTATAACACGTTTTTAACTTTTTCTACCATCTTGCCATTAGGACTGTGGAATATTATGCTGGGTAGAAAAGATGTTGTAAGTCAAACCACCTTTACTGGGGCCATCCTAATGGGGGCCACTTATTTCCTATATAAAATTAACAATTTCGCATGTTTATAATTAATTTAAAGAAATAGATAAAAATATATAATCTTTAATGTTTTATTTTTCGATTATTATAATAGTTTATATATATTTTATTATATTTAAAATTTAATGTTTTAATAGTAAAATAATAAAGTATATTTTTAATGTTATTTTTAAAAATTTTAAAATTTTAATTTTATATAAAATTTTTATTAAATTATTACAAAACTTTATAAACGTTTATAATTTTTTAAATAAATAAATTATATAATTGGTTTTAAATTTAAATGTTATATTAAAACGTTTTTTTATTTAATTATATAAATTTTATATTTATATTATATTAATTGGTAAAGTTATAAATAATAATATTAAATAAAAATTGGTATTTTTTATAAAGTATAACATAACACTTTAACGTTAAATCCTTGTAAAAGGCTTTAAATAATTAATGATAATATTATATTTTAAAAAAATTATAAAGATTTATTAATCAAATAAAATATATAAGATAAATATATAAAATAAAATTATAAGTTATAAATATAAAAAAGTAACGAATATTAAATAAAAGTTAATATTTTTTACAAAGTATAACATATTATTTCAACGTTTAAATCCTCGTAAAAAACCTTAAATAATTAATAATAACATTATATTTTAAAAAAATTATAAAAATTTATTAATCGGATAAAATATATAAAATAAATATATAAGATAAAGTTATAAGTTATAAATATAAAAAAATAATAAATGTGTTTATATTAAATGCATAATTAAATAATGATGATTGTGGTTATTTAATTAAAAAAATATAACGAATATTAAATTTTTATATAATTTATAACTTAAGATTATATAATAATACCTTTGCTTTTAATAATGTAATATTACATTAATTTAATATATTTATATTAAATATATAATTAAATAATAATAATTATAACTATTTAATTAAAAAATATAATAAATATTAAACTTTTATATAACTTATAACTTAAGATTACATAATAATACCTTTGTTTTTAACAATGTAACATTACATTAATTTAATATTTTTTAATAGTTTTATATTAAATAAAACTTAAAAGTTTTGGCTTTAAATCAAGCTTTATTAAACTTAATATTAAAGGTTTTTTAAATGATAAAAAAAAAAAAAAGGAATGACTTGTATTAAAAGTGGATGATACTATGTAAAATAGGTGTGTGCGACCATAAATGGTACTTATACTAAGAATATGATCACATGATCAGGGTCAAGGTCACCTAATACCCCAGCACCAGTTTAATATATAAATTTATATGTGTAATTGTTAATGTATATTTTTATATTTATTTTATTATAAATATTAACCTTGTTATTTTTCCAAAATTTTATATTTAGTAAAAATTTAATACCGTATTTAAAATTAAAAACTGTATAATTTTATCTATTTTTTTTTAAATTAAATACAGATATGCGAAATTGTTGATTTTGTATGGGAAATGGGTGGCCCCCACTAGGGTGGCCCTAGTAAGGGTGGTTTGACTTATTGGGAAAGATTCTGTCAGATTAGTCAGCCATGTCAGGTGACCTGAAAATCCCTAGTCTCATGTAAAATAGCGGTGTAACACGCGTTCCCACGATTTTACCTCAATCAATCAGATCATCAGAAATATGATGAATTAGACCTCATATAACGCCTATTCAGTACGTATTAGTTGTGTGACAGATTCTAACGATCCACTTTTCAATGGTGGAAATCTTATATATGCCCTCATTGTCATTGCTCCTTCCCACAGGACCTAGTTAACTTTCAGCAGCTATTGTGTTAACACACCGGCCTTATTTGTTATTTTGCCGAGGTAGAATTAGCATGTCGCTAGGTTAGATAAATAATATAACGTTTGACAAGGCTCAACATCAACCATAATGTGAAGTCTATCTAAAACAGCGTAAGTATCTTGCTAGAACCTGCGAGAAGACGAGTGGCACGTTACAAGCATTGACATTTGTCTGCGATACCAATAATTCTGTTCAACCCATAATACATTTGTGAGTGTTTAGCAGCCCAACGAAAGAACCCAGCCGCTAGCATACTCTACTTACATCCCTAAATATATCGTAGTATCGGCGATATTCCGGGAACCCGATTACGCCTGTGCTTCCAGCCTTGCACGAGGATGATCTCTTCATCTCAACTCGAGTATTAGGTTCCATAGGGTTATAGAAAGTCTGATTGTAGGTATAATAGATTTACTTCAGTACTTAGAACAATGACCCTTAAATAAGTCTGAAGCACCTATGTGATTTTCTAGAAGCGACATCATGCTTTATTCCTGCACAAGCTTTTGAGATGAAAGCAGTATGGAACGTCATTGTCCAAAGTGTCAATCTGAGGTTTGCCCTAACCGGAACCATCGCCGAGAACAAGGAAGCCCAAACTACGATTGTATTCCAACGCCTGCTTGAACTTTCCGGGCGACAAAGGGGGTTGTCTGAATTCAGCTCCGCGCAATCATGACCTTAGGAATGTGTTCATACCCCGATCACCCATTATTTCGATGCGTCCTAAAAGTTGAGGTATTCCGCAGGCCCTGGTAACGCAGTTGCTAATTATTGCTATTGTACTCTACTTATCGCCGCAGGCAACGTTGCATATCTACTTGACAGTCATAGGCATATCATTTAGTTATCTGAGACGAGTACACATCAGCAATATGGGGATTGCAAGGGGTCAGTCAAAATTGTGGAAGCCTGCCCGCAAGGCGCGCTCGCTGTTAGAGAGGCAGTTCGCTTCACCG